GCCGGCGTCTTCCTCCCCACCCCCTACACCGGCTTCAAGGGGATGCGCGCCGGTCTCTTGACCGACACGTACCTCGAGGCTCACCACATCACCCAGCACAAGAAGGCGTACGAAGACATGGGCACTGACGTTCTCTTTCTGCGCCGCATGGATCCCTACCGGCAAAACGGCAGCGTGTACGAGCTCCTCGCCAAGTCCATCGCCCCGGAGATTTTCGGGCACCTGGATGTCAAAAAGGCCCTCCTTCTCCTGCTCGTGGGCGGTGTCACCAAGGAGGTCGGTGACGGCATGCGCATCCGTGGCGATCTCAACATCTGCCTGATGGGCGACCCCGGTGTGGCCAAGTCGCAGCTGCTCAAGTACATCTCCAAGGTGGCGCCGCGCGGCGTCTACACGTCGGGCCGCGGCAGCAGCGGCGTCGGTCTCACGGCCGCCGTAATGCGCGACCCCGTCACGGACGAGATGGTGCTGGAAGGCGGCGCGCTCGTGCTCGCCGACAACGGCATCTGCTGCATCGACGAGTTCGACAAGATGGACGACAACGACCGGACCGCCATCCACGAAGTCATGGAGCAGCAGACCATCAGCATCTCCAAGGCCGGCATCAGCACGACGCTCAACGCCCGCACCTCGATCCTCGCCGCCGCCAACCCCCTCTACGGGCGCTACAACACGCGCCTCTCGGCCGTCGAGAACATCAACCTCCCCGCCGCCCTCCTCTCCCGCTTCGACGTCATGTTCCTCCTCCTCGACATCCCCACGCGCGACACGGACGCCCAGCTCGCCAAGCACGTCGCCTACGTGCACATGCACAACCGCCACCCGCCCGTCAGCGCCGACAGCCACGTCTTCTCGCCCCAGGAGGTCCGCGCCTACGTCGCCCACGCCCGCAGCTACCGCCCCACGGTCCCGCAGTCCGTGTCCGAGTACATGGTCAAGACGTACGTGCGCCTGCGCGGCCAGCAGAAGCGCGCCGAGAAGAGCAACGAGAATTTCGGCCACACGACGCCGCGTACCCTCCTCGGCATCGTGCGCCTCGCGCAGGCCCTCGCGCGCCTGCGCTTCGCTACCGTCGTCACGCAGGACGACGTCGACGAGGCGCTGCGCCTCGTCGAGGCCAGCAAGGAGAGCCTGGCGGCCGAGGACCGCGGGTCGAGCCGCCGCACGCTGAATGCCAGCAGCAAGATTTACAACCTCGTCAAGGGGCTGGCGGACTCGGGCGCCTGCCGCGCCGACGAGGACGGCGACGAGGAGGACGAGTTTGGCATTGAGCTGAATATGCGCAAGGTCAAGGAGCGCGTCATTGCAAAGGGGTTCACCGAGGATCAGTGGATGGCGGCCGTCGAGGAGTATACCGAGTTGGATGTGAGTTTTTTTTCCCTTCCGGCTTATTGTTGTTGTAAGGATGCTAATCGTGTGTCGTGCAGATCTGGCAAACGGCGGGCAACGGAGCCCGGTTGGTGTTCATCACGTCGGGCGGGGCCGAGAGGGAAGAGAGCCACGAGCCTTAGGCGACAAACTGTCGAGAGGTTCTGGATTTTGATTGCGGGCGTTTTTGGTAAGGAGTTTTGCGACGATGATGGTCTTTTTTGCTGCGTTGGTCAGCAAGCTGTGTGAGGGGTTTGCGCATCGTATGTCATTGGTATGTCTGGATCAAATGAAGATGGGCTGGCCGGTGGCTGGGCGGTTGAAGACCTGACAGGCTGCCTGTGGTTTGAGGTCGGGTTTAGGTACGTGCTAGCAATGAATGGTATACCAAGGTTTTTCGTTCCGAGAACCGGACTGTGGAGGTCGGATGTCGTTTGCCAAGTTCGCATACTTAAGTGGTTGTGCTGTAAAATGGCTGGGATTGTGTGTGTCGAGGTTGGAGCTGCATTGTTTTGATGGAAGCCCCCAAAAAGGGGCTCGCTTAAATTTGAACTTTTAGCACATCCCACAGCCAAAACATTCAAACAAGACCGGGCGATTTGCACGGGTGATAATAGTAGTACACGGCCTCCGTTTTACTCTATCCCATCTACCTGGCCCATTTCATTCACTCGTATACACGATACAGTTGACATGATATTTACAGCCCCTATCTACAAGCTCATGGTGAACAACGACGCCTTCTCCATCTCCCCGACGATGCCATGGCCGCCGAGCGTCCACTTCTCCGCCACCGTCGCCTCGTCCAGCTTCTGCTTCAGCAGCCCGCTCTGGTCATAGTACCACAGCAGCGACCGCGCCTCAGCCTTGGTCAAGCCGGCGAGCTGGCGCACGTGCACCGTGGCGGGCCCCGCCTCGGGGATCGCTTTGAGCACGCGCTCGTCGTAGTCGCGGAAGTAGAGGTCCCGCTCCGGCGCGGGAGCCCCGGGGCGCTGCAGGGCGAGGCGCCGCTGCAGCGCGAGCTCCATGCTCGGGTTGGCGGGCACGTTGTTGCGGCTGGTGGCGGAGACGACGGCGCCGCCGCCGGGGAAGCTCGCGGCGCCGCGGAGGGCGTCGACGAAGAGCCGGACGAGGGCCAGGTCGTGCGAGTGGATGAGCTCAAAGGACGCCGAGCGGTAGTCGGACACGCGCATGACGTGGTTGAGGCCGTCGAGGCAGAAGAGCACGGGCGGCCGCAGCTGGCCGCGCGGCTGCATGAGCTCCTTCCAGAGGGCGTTGAAGACGAGCCAGGCGCCCTCGGGCTCCTTGGCGGCGTTGATCAGCTGGAGGAGGGTCGAGTTGACGGGGATGTTTTGCGGGAGCTCGGGGTGCGAGTGCGCCGTGGTGAGGCGCGCGAGGAGCTTCTCGTTGGAGGCTTTGATGGCTCTGAGGAGGTCGAGGCAGTAGTTGTTTTGCATGTACTGCGTGGGTTCGGTGTTGGGGATGGGGGCGTACTCGGTCATGCCGGTGGTGAGCTCTAGGGCTGGGGTGGGGGGTTAGTTACGGGTTGGAGTCGGGGGAGGGGGGTGGGAGGGTACTGACCTTCGGGGACGTTGATGACGATCCAGTCGTTGAGGAATGCGTATGTCATGCTCTGGAGGAGCATCAGGCTCTTGCCTGATATCCTGGGCCCGTCGTAGATCAGCCGCAGCGTCTGCTTCTTGACCGCCGCCTCCTCCAACCGCTGTGCCATATCGACCGTCTCGGCGCGCACCAGCGTCGACGCATGCCGGAAGAGGTGCCAGAACTGGGTGGGCTTGAAGGCCTCGACGGTCCTCAGCTGGTCCTGCACCTGGCCGGGGATCGACAGCACCAGGCCGATATTTTCAGGCCTGACGAGGTCGCCCTTCTGTACGTCCTCGAGGCCAGGGACGGGGAGGGCGTTGCTGTTGCTCAGCTGGATGCGCTTCCGCAGCGCCTTTGCGTCCCCTGGTGCCGCCTTCTTCTGAGCTTCGCCACCACGTCTCCCTCGTTGTGCAGCTTTTTGTTTTCTTTCCGCCGCTCGCGCCAGTCGCGCCGCGACTAGTAATGGATCCCGCGTAGGGTTAAGTCCCCCCGAGGGCGACGCAGTCTTCGAGAAGGAAGACGTCTGTGTCGCCGTCCACGTCCACGCCGCCCGCGGCACCGCCGAGGGCCGCACCAGGGACCTCAGCATGAGTGCGGCCGACATGATGGCGCGCCAGGGGTGTGTTGTATCGATCGATTGTCTTGGGGAACCGGGCGCGCTATGGCATTCGCATCGTGGGTCGTCGAAGGGATCGCCAATGGAAGTCGTCGACTCCAATTCGAGATCGGAGCCGAACAAAATCTCAACGCGGTGCAAGTCCTCAAAGCACGGACCCCTCCAACTGCCCCCCGGCTCGGACCCCACCCAAACTGCCATTCCCCAACCAATCCCCCCCACTACCGGCTGCATTCTGCCCCCTGCGACCGCCCAAATTTTCAGGAACGAGAACCTCTCCAAGCTTCCCCCCAAGGTCGACCGCCCGGCCCCAACCATCACCACCATCAACCCTCCACCATCCAGCCGCCCACAACAACAGCAATGTCCACCCTCGCCGCCCCCTCCGCCGCTGCGGCCCCCCCCACCACCACCGCCCCCCCCTCCACAACCACCAAGTCCAAGACCCCCAAGCTCCCCGTCACCGTCGACAAGCCCACACCCTACCACTTCGACCTCGGCCTCCTCCTCGCCAACGACCCGAACCCGCTCTCCCTCCCCGCCGCCGGCCGCGAAGCCGCCCTCGCCGCCGTCGCCCGCGACGGGACCCAGGTCCTGATCAACCAGCTCCTGACGACGTGCCCCATCACGTCGACCTCGGCGGGCGTGCTGCTCACGCTGCCGCCGGTCCAGACCCCGCTGCCGCGCGAGAAGCCGGTGCCGGCGCCCAAGGCCGAGACCAAGTGGAGCGCGTTCGCCAAGCGGCGCGGCATCGCGCCCAAGACGCGCGAGCAGCGCCGCAACCTGGCGCTCGACGAGGTCACGGGCGAGTACGGGCGCAAGTGGGGGTACCGCGGCGCCAACAAGGCCGGCCAGGACGAGCCCATCATCGAGGTGGCGTTCAACAGCAAGAAGGAGCAGGAGCGCAAGGAGGGCACGACGATCCGCGGCGACAAGCGCCGCGAGATTCGCGAAAAGGTCAAGCGCAACGAGCGCAAGATGAGGAACAACCAGCGCAAGTCGGACGGGAGGAAGTGAGATGGAGGGGGAAGGGGGAAGGGGGTGTTTGGTTCTGTATTCGATCGTGTCTGTCTAGTCTACTACTCTGGATGGCCGGGCGGGTGGCGTTTACCGGTGGTTGACATTTTATCTCTTCATTGGCGTTGGGGTCTTTCTCGCGGTGGAAAAGCATACCATAGATACTCTGAATGGGATACTTCTTGTTGTTATTTCAGACGTTGCCAAAGACTCGTGCCCGACATCTCTCCGAGTCCAAGTGTCGAGAGCAGCAAATGCACAGTGCGAACCCATCACTCCTCACCAAAAAGAACATACAGTGTACCCAGCAATTCGCACTGTGCAGATATGACAAAAAAAGGAGCCTGGACTCGACAGACCAAAGTCCATCGAGCCCAGGCTCAAGTGTGTGTGATGGGAGAACTGGGGGTCGAACCCAGGACCTCAGGATGTGCTCTAGGTATTTCGTTTCGCTGGGCAGCGAATACCCATTTAGGTGGTTTTTAGGGTGAAAAAGACCAAAAGCAAATCGCTGTGCTCTTCCACTGAGCTACTCCCCCGTTGGTGGTGACCGACAGCCATGGAAGACTGAGGGTGAAGAAGAAGAAGAGAAGAGGAACGGAAGACGGGCGGGCGGGGGACGGGCTTATATACCCTTGGGGAGAGTGGTCAATGCCCTGCTAACCCTAATGCCCGTGTCATGGGGAAGAGGGGGTGGTTGACGTAGTGATTCAGTCAACGCGCATTGTCTTTGACCGAGGGTGGCCGAGGATGGCCGATAATGACGAGATGGTGGAGGTGGCTGAGGTGAAGTCCGCGACCGAGTCCTCGACCGAGAATGACGATATGTCAAAGGTGACCGAGATGAATCCTCGACGGTATCAACCTGCCGCTCGACGGCTCAACTTCACTTCCCCAGCATCCGGGACATCAAAGGCACTGCTCAACCACCGTCAATATTACCGCCCGTTCTGGCTGCCAGAACCAACTTATATAGTACATGATACGGAGAGAAAAGAAGAAGAAGAAACTGCATTCGCATCCACCCCGTCGGCTCTCATGCTTTTCGATGCCCCAGAAATAAAAACGACAAAGTGAACCTTGAAACCAAAACCTATCGTAATGCCTGCTTGCCCGTCCACCTCTCCGTTTCCCCCAACTTCCTCCCTCCCGTGCCGCTTGGCCCCTGCTCATCCTCTCCTTGTCGCCGACAGGGGCTCAAGCCAACGACACCAAGCCCAACGCCAAACTTCCATCGCCGGCCGCCATCGGAATTCAAATAACATGAAAAGCGTAAAATTCGAGGTTGTCGATATAGAGGAGGGCCCGGTCTTGCTTCGAAAAGGCATGCCTTCGAAAAGACAGTACAGCAGCTCCGCAACGCAAAGGGGTATTTCCCACAAACAAAAAAGCATCAAGCCCATCTCGCAAAGCTTCGCAAAGAAAAGGAAGTGCCCCTCTCGTCATGTTCCGCCACCCCGGTGGACGACAGCGAAAGGCAGCGCGGCAAGCGTGTCGGATCGAGATGCAGGGTATTGGGGGTTTCTAGCAGCAGACAACAAAGGAAAAGTCGTCAACGGCGTTACGGTCGTTATGATGAAGTAACCGATGCGAGCCCCCCTCATGTACACCACCGAGTTTGCGTCCTGGCAAACTATCGTGAATTTCTTGTCGTTCTAGTGGACGAGGGCCTGTTCAGAACCCCATGGGGGACAGCGGCTTGATCGGCGAGAGGGGCCGCAAGTCTCCGGACCCCCGCGGCTGCCCTTCCCTCTCGTCGCGGATGGTCAGCGTTGTCGAGACCGTCGAGTTCGGCTCCGTCGTCTCGATTTCTGGCACGGGCTTCTTCTTGAGCCGTGTCTTTGGATCCCCCGACCCGCCGCTGGCGCTCCGGTTGGACGTCTTGCCGCTACTTGACGAAGAGGGGGCGCGCTCCTCAACCACTTCTTCTTTGGTGACATTTCCGTTGCCGTGTTTTCGCTCAGTCTGGGGTTGTTTTCGCGACTCGGTCTGGGGTTGTTTTCGCGAATCGGTCTGGGGTTGTTTTCGCGACTCGGGCGGCGGCTGGTTTCGCGACTCAGCCAGGGGCTGGTTTCGCGACTCGGTCTGGGGTTCGGGTATCGTCTTTGGAGGTGGCACGTCGAACAGCGCATACTCCTCCTCGATGTACTTGGCCTCGCTGGCGCATCCCTTCCAGCAATCCCGCCAGTCGCACACCAGAAACTTGAAGCAGAAGGCGTCAATCTTCATGCATGGCTGGAAGCAAATGCACAAGTTCCGAAAGTCCATCTTGTTCTTGTCCGAGTGAGCAAGGAGGAGGCTGAGGTGGCATGTGATGGCGAACAGCAGATAGTAGTTGAACGGGGAGAGGTTCGAAAGTTCATCGATCAGTAGTTGGGGAACCTTGTCGGAGCCGGCGCACTCTCGGGCAATCCTGTCCTGAGCAGCCTTGGGAAACAGCTCGTCTGGCAGCTCACGCAGCCACGCCTTGAGCATGGAGCCGATAATGTTGATGTCGTAGAGATCGTGTTGCTCAAAGAGGTCTACATCGAGTTCTGCAGCAAAATTGTCAGCGACTGCACATCGGCGGTTTACCTCCTCAGCACATGAAACATGAAGAAACACACCTTCATCGAATTTGCGCTGCCATCTCTTGATCTGAGGTCCGCTTCCGGGCACCCGGTAGAGGCCCTCCACGTCGCTTCCCTTGTAGTTGAGATAATCGATTGCCCTCCAGGGAAAGGCCGGCATCCAGAACTCGGTCTTATCCCGTGAGTCCTCGAGGCGTTTTGATATCCGGGTCTTCCGCGTCTGCTCCACGAGAGGCAGGTTGATGACCTTGAGCACGTAGTGCTCGTCGTCAACCACGGGCTCTCTGTGCACGTTGTGGTCGTTTCTTCCGCCGCTGCCGAAGAGGTTTTTGTTTACCGAGGCCTTGAGGCCCTTCAGCCCGCTAAAGAAGGATCCGCCATTCTCTCGGTATGCCGACGGTGCGTATCGGCTCGTGTTGTCGGTATCCCGCCGGCTACTGCCCGAAATGTCTCGGCCTTGGGGCCGCTCCGCAGAGTGGTTCCGCGCCGCCGAGGACATCATCTCGCGAAACGATCGATCTTGTGCCTGGATCGGCGCGGTGCGCAGGGCGGTCGACGTGTATCCTTGGTCGGGCTCGGTGAGGGCGCGGAGGTGGGCTGGAGATGGATCCTTGGGGCTCGGGCTGTCGGCGCTGCCGTCCTTGATTGATCGAGTGCGTTTGAGGAGGGTAAAGGGCTTCGGCTTGGATCGCTTCGAGGGGCCGCCAGCGTTATCGTAGTCGGTGGATGAGGAGAGCGACAATTCGGATCGGGAGGGCGGGAGGGGCGCTGACCTCTGGCCCGAGAGATCGGGATACGACGAGTCTGCATGAAAGGGGAGGGGGGGTTAGCAAGCATTCGGGGGACGGGGCGTGGGTAGGATATCGCTGTTGGCGGGGTTCATTTCATGCATACCTGATTGCTTCGAGGAATCCCTCGACGTGGTTTCACGTCTGGGGTCTGTGGACGGGTACGTGTTGAGGCGATCCGTCGACTTGGACGACTTGCCAAAGTTGAAGAAGAAGCTCGACTTGGAAGCCTTGTCCTCGTCCCGCCGGTTGTGGCCGCGCCGCTGCTGGTGCTGGTGCTGGTGCTGCTGCTGGGTGGGCACCTGGCTCCGGGAGTGCGAGGGCTGGTGGTGGGCGGGGGACGTCAGGGCCGAGGGGGAAGCGTCGACAGGGGACTTCTCTGGGCGTGGGATCTGGCGCTGGTGTTGCAGTTGCGGTTGTTGCTGCGATGCGTCGGTAGCCTGCAGCGCCTGTGGTCCGGCGGCGCTTTCAGTCGTTGTCTGGCTCTGGCTCGTCTGGCCGGGTCGGAAGGGCGAGCGTGGGGAGAGTGGCGATGCAGCCTTTGGGTCAGTTTCACCGGCAACACGAGGGCCTTCGTCGGGGCGCATTGGGTTGGGCAGGGCGAGCGCCTGTGGTACGGGTTTGCGACCCATGGCTGCAGCCGCGGTGCCGGCCCTGATAATGACGGGCCTGGATATACCAGCGCGTCTGGTGCTTGGTTCTGCGCTGGGGCGCAAACAGAACAGCGGGAATCACTTGTCGGGGCTTACAAGGCAAAATAGGCAGATTGCCAGTCTGCGACAAATGAGCGACCTCCCCAAATGAGGCGCGGAGGGCGGAAAATCCACACGGCTGCGGGCTGCGGGCTGCGGGCGACGTGTGGACTGTGGACTGTGGAGGGATGGGATGGGTGAAGCCGAGAGAGGACACGCATAGGTAGAGGGTCGGACTCGGGCTGGGTCGGTCCTTGTCTTGGTCCTGCTGGAACGAACTTGCCGGGGATTTGACTTGGGAGAGGTTGGCCGGCGGTAGGTAGGCTTCGAAGCGAGAGGAGAGAGACTCGACTCGACTCGACGGCAGTGCTGGTAGGTACAGGTGCTGGTGCTGGTGCTGGTGCTAGTGCTGGCCTCGCTGTACCTCCAGGCGGTCCACGGGTGCGCTAGAAAAACCCCGCCGCTGTGTGACAGATTGCAACCCAAGATCTGACTGGGAAAGTTTGAAATTCTGAGCAGCAGGAGGCTGTCGACACTCGACACTTGGGTGTGTCCAATCCGCTGTCGAGGCAGGTACCGTGTTGGCAGCCGGCACGAGTCGTCGAGGGACCAACAGGCCGCGTGGTGTGGTGTGGTGGCCCTGGTGGGTGACCTTGTTCCTGGAGGAGCCCCGGTTGACTCCAGAATCCGGCCGTCAGCTCCGCCCTGGTCTGGGCCTCTGCATCCGTTTGCTGGCAGCACCAGCAGCGCCCCGGATTTGTCGCCGGTGTGGTTCCTGAGGTTCCAGAAGGGGTGGTCTGAAACGACTTTGCAGAGCTGGTCAGGGGCGCGTCGTCTGGTACCTTGGGGGGTAGGGACGGGAGTACGCAATGCTCAAATACCTAGGCGCTGGGCTCTGGAGTGCAGCCAGCGATCCTCGGCTGCGGGCAGGGTTCCCGTCCACGGCGTCCAGAGACCAGACGAGAGGAGAGGATGTGATGCCCGTTGTTGATCAGGGACAGCGAAAAGGGCGTTCTCCGTCGGGCTGCCAGTCGCGATGCCGAGATGAAATGGGCGGTGCGGCTTTGATTGGATGTCGAGTCTGACAACAAGAGCCCTCCAGTTCTCCTTTGTGCAGTCCAGTCCCTCACCTCCAGAGGAGATGATGCATGGTGGGATTGTGGTCTGATGGGCTGCGAAACTGCCTGTGGCTGCACAAGAAAGACGAGGTTGTGTCCTTCCCCATTGGCAATGAAAGCCCGTGGGAAAATGCATTTACCTACCTACCCAGACAACCATCCTACCTATACAAGAATAAAAGGCGGGCTCGATCGCCATCAGCGTGCCGGCATTCGGATCCGGCTCTCGGCGGCACTTGGTTTCTTCTTTGTATCTACCTACACAGTACAGGGCTTTGTAAGTCCTGCGGCGAGCCTCTACGAGGCACCATCAAAGCTTGATCAATCGAGAACCTACAGAGCCGAGAGAGCCTATAGTACATGAGAGTTCG